AAAGCCTGCATTGAATTCAAGATGGGTCAGGGGGCAAAAAAAGGGTAGAAGGTCACTGCATTTTGATTATGGGTCAGTAGACAACATGGCATATATTCTGTGTCCCAAACTTCTGTTAAAAACAGGATTTTAAAATGCCTAAGAACAGAAGGATGGGCCCTTTTGGAGACTTGCCTTGATTTGTTTGGATGAAACAAAAAGAAAAAAATTAAGCAAAATATACTAAGTTATAATTTAAGCTGTTCCTTAATTTAGCATTTCCTCCTCCATTCTCATTTCCCCTCCCAAAAAAGTAGAGACCATGTGAAATTAGGTAAATTTAGGTGAGGAACTGTTGATTATCACAATTTTATTGTCCTATATCCTAAATTAATTCAGCCGTGTGAGGTTTTATATTATTTTAGATTGTGTTATATGTAAGTGTTATAATTACTTTTGGCTAACAGTACAAGGGGCTTCTTTTATTCTTCTAACCAGTATACTTACATTGTTGAGGCCTTTGTGATGTCCCTTAGTCTTTTCTCTCTGAATTCTCTTTGAACAAAATGTGCCCAGCAATCAGTAAAACAAATGTATATGGTGAAGAGTTAGGTGGTGGTGATGGTGATGTGGGGAGATGATCCTCATTTAAATTATATGTGTATGGGTGAAAGCTTGGAAGGAAAAGGATTATTTTAATGCTCTTCAATACTTTAATTATATGACAGTTGTAGTGTAGAAATGCAAAAGTACTCTTAGGTTTTCCTTCAGGTTTTCAAAAGAACTTTCCCCATTAGTAAACTACTCCTGCAAATTGCTACTGCATTTCCCAGCTAACCATTTAAAAGACTGTAAATGCCGAGTGCATTACTTTGCTCCAGAGGAAAGAGGTCAGACTGAATTGCAATGGTATTTAAACATAAAATACAGTGAAAATAAATCAAAATAGAACATCTGAAGGTAAATTTAGCACATTCATACAGGATAAGTAAAGACAAATACGTTCATACCTTCATAGCCCATCACTTTAAAAACTGAAAGTACTGATTTTTTTTTTTACAACAAATGCAGAAGTAAGTAGACATTAAGAATATACTTCTATCTGTATTTGCCACAGAGGATTTTACTTTAGCAAGCAGCTTTGTTTTCATAGCTAAAATACTTTTTATGATAGTGAGTAGATTGTGCATTCCTCACTGAGTAAATAATTACATGTAATTAACAAACTCAGTGCTTATCATATATATGCCTAAATTCTCAATAAGTAATTCTCTATACTCTCAGAGACAGATACATACGTAATTGTTAATTTGGGCATATCTGCCCACATATGTATATGCATTTGAGAAACCTAGAAATTGATACATCTTTTCTTAAAAAAGAATTTGAATACAGTCCATCATCTGAATTGGGTTCATCTTTGATTGTTGAGGCGGCTGACATGGTCAACAAATTTATCAAAGAAACCCCCTGGCTTTTGAAGAATAGTACTTTATACATCTGGATCTGCACATCCAGGCAAAGTAAGTAAATTATTGCATAACTTTAAGCATAATTGATAACAGACACCTTTAATTTTTCATCCCCATTCTTTTGGCCAGCTTTCACATTAATAATCTAAGCCATAAATGTTGGTAGCTATTGATCGAAATCCCCTGTGTGCATGCAAATCCATCTTAAAGTCCCCTGCCTTTCATGTGTGAGCGCTCAGGGGCCTCTGCTAGATCTTTTTATCGGGATCGACCCCCAATGTGGCTGGAGAAGACCCCGGATATGCAACGTGTGCTGATGGCCACAAGAAAGCTGTCTGTCACATTCTGTGTATGTGTGTATGTGTGTGTATGTGTGTGTGTGTGTATGCATGCATGCGAATGCACACACTCACGCCTTAACACATACACACACACACAATAATGGGGAAGTTGAACAAAAGAATGTATTAGACAAGAAGAAAGATATATAATAAAAGTATTAAAAATGTATAAGTGTACAAGTGTCTGAGTGTACCTATAAAGATACTTGCATAAATTGTATATACAGACACATTTCCCAAGTCCTCTGGTCTTTATTTTTCTCTATTTGACCCAATAGATTGGACCTTTAGTTTAAAAAAAAAAAGTAATATTCTACGGTTTTAAGAACCACCTATGTTGCCAGTATTTTAAAGGTGGAAAGACAGGAAGGAAGAGCAAAAAAAGGTAATTTTAAAAACATTACTAAATCACGTTGCCATGTGCAGGAGTAGGAGTGTGTGCGTGCGTGCGTGCGCGCCTGTGTGTGTGTGTGTGTGTGTGTGTGTGTGTAAATCTAAATAGGAATGGAGAACAACTAGAACTACCTGGCCAAAAAAAAAAAAAAAAAAAAGGGACATCCTAGCCAACCTTTTGTAATGCCCTCTCAAAGGCTTTTTCTGAGTTTACTATTTCTTGGCTGTTGTACTCTTTGGTCAAAATCTCAAAGCTGGAGGAGGGGAATTGGACGGTGGTGGGGTGGGAGGAAGAGAGCTGCCAGTATATAAGTGCATCAGGAGGAATTTTAAAAATGACATTATTGTCACTGGAAGTGGAAAGACTCTGGTCATTCTACTTTAAAAAACAAACACCAGCATCTGCTTTTTCTGGAAACTTTGCTTTCTGCTTAAACCTTTTGCATTTTGCCTCCTGTGAAAGTGAAAGAGAAAAACACGGTGTGAGAGATCCAGATGCAAAAGAAAGCCAACTCGGTGGATGGTATTAGCTGTGACGAGGCATTGTTCATTGCTGCCTCTCGGTTACGTTTAAAGCCTGAAATATCACGAGATCCATTCAATGATCCTTCTCTCATTCAAGGGACAAAAATGTAATTTGCTGTAGCTCTGATTTCTTGGATGGAAATGCTAGCCTTAGATTTCAAAGGCAAGAACTAGACATCGTGGTTTGTACACACATTGATTAAGTTGAAGAGCGGCGATTACATCTGTGCTGAGTGCAACAGTAGTCCAGGGCTGACTTTTCAAATCCCAACCTCTGAGTTACAGACTCTCTTAAATAGACTTCCTTAATTTCCGGATGTACTTCTTGAAATTCCCAATTCTCTTCAAAATTCCTGGGAAATTACTGGGGAGATGAGGGTGGGGGTGGGGAACTATGGCTGAGATTTCAATGCAAAATACCTTTTTTATGTCTGATTCCTCTTTTTTTACCTTTTTCCCCCCCTTTCTTTTGAGCCATACCTGCTTGTGCTAGCCAGACCAGAGCAAGGGAAACTGGAACTTTTGAATGGGAAGGAAGAAATTATTGTACAATTCTTTTCTTGCAGTCTCAGAAATATCCGTTTATTCTTTTAACCACACGGATGTGTCTATTTTTGGAGGAACAAGGAAACATATAAATGCCTGGGTTGCATTTATACTGTAGTTGCAAACACCAAACAGTTAAGAAGATTTTGCCGAATTTTGCAAAGGAGCCAACAAACCACCTTGGGATCCTGGTAATGCAGCTGGGAAGACCCTTGCTCTCATTTGGTAATATTTTGGATATCCTTGGAAATGATACCGAAATATGCTTTAACTCGACTAAGAAGAGGTTAAACAACATTGATATTCATCCAAAGTGATTTTTTTTTTAAAGCAGATGCTTGGCTTTCATGGAGAAAATGGGAGTTGTGGAAGATTCATTTGAACTACCAACCGAAAGCATCATAGACCACTGAAATAGTCTGCGTCGTACATCAGCACTTTCTTTTCATCGTTATTACGTAAAACCTCTGGAAGCACCTTGGGCGTTTTACATTTTCTTTTCTTTGCAGCAGAAACAATCTGCTCCCTGGAATTCTGACCTGTCCTCAACAGGACCCAGGCTGACCGTGCTGAGGACTCTAGGACGATCCCGCCTCCAATCCAGCCTGGTTAATTGTGAAAAGTGTACACATTTCTGGCTTATCTATGCTTTGTTATGGGTCTGACGTGAAACTACCTCCTCCCCACCCCACCCCCCAGCAGAGAACCAAAATCCAGTTGAATTGTTACAGTGTTTCGGAGCTGGAGCCTTGAACTGCTTCCTTGGTCAAATAACTTTGTTTCTGGTTGTAAAAGGCATTTCAGGAAAAAAAAAAAAAAAAAAGGAAAATCGAGAGAAATTCAAAACGTAAGTCTGTACTGGGGTGGTTCACTGCGCGGGTTTAACTTTGGAGCTCCCAGCCGTTCTCCTTCTCCACTCCCATAAGGGAAATACCAGGCTATTCTGCACATTTTCGCTTAAGCTCCATTTTCCAAAGGAAAAGGGGGTGGGGTATGTCTATTTAGGCTTGATAATGTTTTTAAAATGCTTTTCTTTGAAATGATAATAGCTGCAGCGGTAAAATGCAAATAAAGAAAAAATAGGCAATATTCCTTTAAAGGCGAATATACAGGGATTTTTTTTTTTTTTTTTTAAGCGTACACACACTGGTTCAGATGAAGTCTGTGAGTCAGGCTGTTTCTGAGCTCCGATAGTTTAATGGAAAGATTTATATACCGACTGTATTATTTACTTTGGGAGGGGAGGTGGCAGTATAAGGGTATGCTAATTAGTGGGAGATTTTGGGGGGAAGGGGTGGAATATCAATTTTTATTGCATCACCTGTCAGGAGTGTCCAATCAGCGCTGGCTTTAGGGGAATTAATTGATGAAGGTGTCTCCGGACGAGCTCACTTCACTCTGTCATTTTATTTGTAGCTAAAGCAGCGGCGGGAATAGCAGCTGCATTTCTTTTCTCTTTCTCCCTTCACATTCCATTATCATAGTGCTCCAATGGAGAAGGAAGGAATAGAGGGGCCCAGGTACTGATCTGCATCGGGGACTTAGACCAACACACTGGCAGATCAGAAACCGGATGGTTTTTTCCCTCTTTTTAAAAAAATACGAAAACCAAAAAAAAAAGCAAGAATCAAGTCAGTGTAATTTCATGTTGTTGTTGTTTTTTTTTTTTCCAATAATTTAGCCTAGAGTTTGGCACTCCCTTCGCCGGGAATAACAGTCTTTTGTTATTTTATTAGCAGGATGCCTTGAGACACACGCAGCATCTGGTGGAGGATTAACATACATACATGTGTATGTATGCGTCACGTATATATTTACTGCAAATGGTGGGGATCATTTAGTGCCCGAGATGGGAGACCTGAAGTCAGGTTTTGAAGAGGTGGATGGCGTGAGGCTCGGCTACCTCATCATTAAAGGAAAGCAAATGTTTGCCCTCTCCCAAGTCTTCACGGATCTGCTGAAAAACATCCCGAGGACGACCGTGCACAAGCGCATGGATCATTTGAAAGTGAAAAAGCACCACTGCGATCTGGAGGAGTTGCGGAAACTCAAGGCAATCAACAGCATCGCCTTCCACGCCGCCAAATGCACGCTCATCTCTCGGGAAGACGTGGAAGCTCTCTACACCTCCTGCAAAACCGAGCGTGTCCTCAAAACCAAGCGCAGGAGGGTCGGCCGGGCCCTGGCCACAAAGGCGCCGCCACCAGAGCGCGCCGCCGCCGCCGCCTGCCCCCGCCCGGGTTTTTGGAAGGACAAGCACCAACTTTGGCGGGGCCTGAGCGGAGCCGCGCGGCCCCTGCCAATCAGCGCGCAGTCCCCGCGCCCGGGCGCCGCCGCCGCGCGCCCCGCCGCCCATCTACCTCAGATTTTTAGCAAATACCCGGGCTCGCACTATCCGGAAATCGTGCGCTCGCCTTGCAAACCCCCTCTAAACTATGAAACTGCCCCGCTCCAGGGAAACTACGTTGCTTTCCACTCGGACCCTGCTTATTTTCGGAGCCTGCTCTGCAGCAAGCACCCGGCCGCCGCCGCCGCCGCCGCCGCCGCCGCTGCCGCCGCCGCCGCCGCCGCCGCCGCCGCCTACTACCAGGCGTCGGCGGCCGGGCCCCAGCCCAAGGCGGCGGCGGGCGCAGGAGGCCCGGTGAGCCTGACCTACCGGTGCAAGCGCAAGCGCGGGGGCGCCAAGGACTGCCTGCTCGCGCCCCACGCCGGCGCCCGCCGCCTGCTGCTGCTGCCCAGGTCCTACAAAGCCAAGGCGGCGGCCGCGGCGGCGGCGGCCGCGGCGGCGGCGGCAGCCGCTGGGGCCACTTGCCTGGAGAGGTTTCACCTGGTTAACAGCTTCTGCACGCCTCCCCACCACCACCACCACCATCACCACCACCACCACCACCACCACCACCACCACCGGGCCCAGCAGCCGCCGTCGAATCACCACCCCCCACATCACCACCGGCCGCAGCCCCATCTCGGCAGCTTTCCCGAGAGTTGCAGCAGCGACTCGGAGTCCAGCTCCTACTCGGACCATGCAGCCAACGACTCAGATTTTGGCTCCAGTTTGTCCAGCTCCAGCAACTCGGTGTCCTCGGAGGAAGAAGAGGAGGAGGGAGAAGAGGAGGAGGAGGAGGAAGAGGAGGAGGAGGAGGAGGAGGGGGGCAGTGGGGCCTCGGATTCCAGCGAAGTCAGCTCGGAGGAGGAGGACTCGTCCACGGAGTCGGACTCCAGCTCCGGCTCCAGCCAAGTGTCAGTGCAGAGCATCCGTTTCAGACGCACCAGCTTCTGCAAGCCTCCCAGCGTGCAGGCGCAGGCCAACTTCTTGTACCATCTGGCCTCCGCAGCCGCTGCAACCAAACCCGCTGCTTTCGAGGATGCGGGCAGACTTCCCGACCTCAAGAGTAGTGTCAAAGCGGAGTCGCCGGAGGAGTGGAATCTGCAGAGCTGGGCCCCCAAAGCGTCTCCGGTATACTGCCCGGCCGGCCTGGGGAGTTGTTTCACAGAGATAAGGAACGATAGGGTATCTGAGATTACATTCCCACACTCTGAAATTTCCAGTACTGTAAAGAGAACTGACCTGACAATTAACTGCCTGGCGGAGGGGGCCTCTTCACCTAGCCCAAAGACAAACAATGCATTTCCACAACAAAGAATACTCCGAGAGGCAAGGAAATGCCTACCAGCAAGTCCTACGGCACACTGTGCAGATAACAACACAATAGCTGCTAGGTTCTTAAATAAAGATTCTTCAGGAGCGGCCTCAAATTCAGAGAAAGATTCCAAAATCCCTCATTGTGCTGAATTTGCTACGGATTTGTCCCCTTCACAAGCGGATTCTGCGGTGGATGCAGCAGCAGCAGCAACTAAAGCTGAGACTCCCTGCACGAACACAGGAGACAAGACCTTGCCATTTCTGCACAATATTAAAATCAAAGTAGAAGACAGTAGTGCTAATGAAGAATATGAACCTGACCTTATTACAAATAAGCTTAAGTGCGAGTGCAATGATACAAAGGGTGAGTTTTACAGTGTGACTGAAAGTAAAGAGGAGGACGCCTTGTTAACCACAGCCAAGGAGGAAGGCTTTGCATGCCCTGAAAAAGAAACTCCTTCCTTAAATCCACTGGCTCAGAGTCAGGGCCTTTCATGCACTTTAGGTTCTCCAAAACCTGAGGATGGGGAATATAAATTTGGTGCCAGGGTGAGAAAAAATTACCGGACACTAGTACTGGGAAAGCGACCTGTACTTCAGACACCTCCAGTCAAACCAAATTTGAAATCAGCTAGAAGTCCTCGTCCTACAGGTAAAACTGAGACACATGAAGGAACACTGGATGATTTTACAGTTATAAACAGACGCAAAAAGGTAGCCAGCAATGTAGCATCAGCAGTGAAAAGGCCATTTAATTTCATGGCAAATTTTCCTTGTCCACCATCACTCATTATTGGGAAGGATGGGGATTTGTGGCCGGCGTATTCCTTAAACACCACTAAGGATTCCCAACCTCCTCACAAGGCCCATCCTATATGGAAATGGCAGCTGGGCGGTTCTGCAATACCTCTTCCACCTAGTCACAAATTCAGGAAATTTAATTCATAAAAGTGTTTTGGAAGATATTTTCTTGAACCCTATTACCTTCCTTTTGTTGTAAACTGCACAGGATGGTTTGTACAAGTCCATTAATGTGTTACACCCCTTTTGGAGCCCTGGTTTATCGCATTTTGAAGACAGAAATCGGATTACTTTTTTTCCATTGCGGGTTTTTTTTTTTTTGGTTTTTTTTTTTTTTTTGGGTGGGGGGGGGGGGGGGGGTGGGAGAAGGGTTGGTTTACATTCCACAGACTACTTCAGGCTAAAGACTCAAGTAAAACTCAGTTATTAAGGTAGAGCTGGAACACTTTACTGTTTCAAAGCTAATAATGCACCCGGTACCTCAATTCAACTGCTACAAATAAATGTCAAAAGGTTGAATAATAAATATTACAATGAGCCATTAAGTTTATGCACTAGATTTCAGACCTGAAAGTGTAACTGTTAATTCAGTGAAAGTTTGTTAGGTTACTTGGTTACATAGTGAGGTAGAAAGAAGTTTTCTGTGAGCCCAAAATGTTCTTTTCTGGAGCTCTTGTTTGTGGGATATCTTTTCTTCTTCCTTCCCTCATTCCTTCTCCAAGAGTAGTTGCACTTAATTTTCCTTCCTTCTTCCCTTCCTTCCGTCCTTCCTTTCTTTATCTTTTTTTTTTTTTTTTTTTTGAGTTGAAAGATTGGGGAGTCCTGCTTGAATGCTGGTAAAAGCTGCCTCATATATACTGAGTAAAATAAATATGAGATTGCTTTTTTTTTTTTGGCAAAGGGTGTGATTTTACTTTTACAGCTACTCCTTGCAATTGGAAAAGTCCTTTCTGTGTTCTCACCCAAAGGTTTTAAATAAGGTGACTCTTACTATTATTGTCCTGCTTACCTTGTGGTCTGACTCAAGTTTGACTCCTCAAACTTGCAAAACAAAGTAGTTCTCTTAATAGCAGGATATTTTATGGTCTGACTCTTCATAGTGACAAAGCAGTAAATACAACCAAGAAAAGTAAAATGGGTCAGAGTTGTAGGAATATCCCAAATGAAAAATTACAGTTCTTTCAGGGCTCTTTGGTACCAGAACTCAGGCACTAGGATCTTACTACCTTTTACTTTTTCTGCATCTCTCTAAACTTCTGTTTTTAGACCATCCTGTGAATAAAGCAGGAGAGTTTCTACTGCAAGTGACAATCAGAGGTGACTATCTATATTTGCACTTAAAATCAAAGTAGTTCAACATGCAAATGGCTAGGGTCTAGCCCTTGGTAAGGGCCATGCTGGTGTACTATGTTGTGATGATGGAAGCAGTAAATCAAAATTATGGAAATTTGCACTGTTGAAAAGCATGCTTTAGCTTTATTTTCAATTAAAAACACTGTTTAAAATTCCTGGTTCCATACATTTCTACTTATTCCAGATTGAAGAACGGTTAACAGGAATGAATGGTTTTGTTGACATTTTCATTTGTAATGTTTTTGCCTGAAAGAAATGCATTTATTGGGTGTAGTGTTTTGTTGTAATACCATGTGATGAGGGCAGTCAGGTTCTGTGCAAAACACTGATTTCTTTCTAAATAACAACAAAACTTTACAAACTTGTTACAAATCAAGTGCAAAAGTTTCAGGTTTAAGAAAGTGAAGCAGAGATCAATTGCTATTTTAATGAAAGTTAAATCTAATAATATTTGGTCCACCTCCCTAAGTTTGTCCAATTAAATTGTATCTCAGATCTTTGCCACCTTAAACCTAAGAAGTTGCATCTATAGATCATAAATCATAAAACAAAACAAAACATCAATGAGATGTTCACTGTGTGAATTTAGTCACTATCTCTCAAGGAAATTCAGTCTTTTTTTTTTCCTGCCCTTATCCTTCTAATTCCTACTCCCTTTGAAATTTTTCTTTTGTCTATAAATGTTTCAGATAGATCTGGATGGTCTCAGCTCTAATTGCTGTATATGCTCTGTGGTTTTACTCTTACTGTAAAGGACAGAGGCTGAGAATACCTGCATCCAGATACATTTGGATGGAGTAAACAGAGGCTTTGAACTGCCTCCCTTCCTTTCCTTCTTGAATGTTGCCAGATGTAGGTTCACTGGATCCTTTTTTATTGGGATGATAGATATGGTCAAAGCAAATACTGGGGGATGCTATCCTTGAATTCATGTTTGTGTATAATTCCAAAGACCAGTACAAGTTACAGTTAAAGCCCCCAGAAAGCTGAACAATTGGCTTCTCAGTCTGAGTTCTTTCCTCTTTGGAAGGCCATACAGAATTTGGGTGCAGTGATTTGTCCTGCAAAATCAATCTGTAAAAAGTGTGACATCCACACACTGGCAGTCTGTAATTTCTATTCTTTAATTACTGCTAAGTCAGGAGAGTTCAAAGTATGATGACTACTACATTTAGGCTAGTACTTTTCTTGCTGGCTATGGAATCATTGTTCCTATATTATAAACTGAGAATATATTTGAAGCCTACAGATCTTGGGTGTGAGAGGACTGCTAGATGGAATAAGCACAATTTAAAACAAATATACCCTATGGAATTTCTGACATAAAATATCGGCTTCCAGCTTTGACACTTGGTCTCCAGCCCTCAGAGAATCAATAGTTTCAGTTTATAGGAGCTGGAGAATGAGCAGCATGGAGGCCGAGGCATTCCAGAGTGATACCATCAAAAGGAAAGAAATTAAATAGTCAACACAAATTTCACCCCACAGTACTACAACAAGCCAGCCAACCACAGCAAAACCTGAGTTGGGGCTTCTGTTAGGAGAGTATACCAAATAGTATTCAGTAACTTACAAATACAAGGTATTCTTTCAATTTCTGGTAGTCCCTTAGCTGTTTTCCCATTCTGCTGAGGGAATTATTCTCAGTACAGTTTATTTCATTTTGGTTGTTTTATGGTTAATGACCACATCTAGATTTTCTATGCTATAAATGTCCCATTTGTTCAGAAAGTTAAGCCTTATTGAGAGAAAAAGTTACCTCCATTGATAGATTGCATTTGTACATTTAAATGTTTTCAGGTGATAGCATTTTTTTTTAAAAGGCACTACATGGTTCCAGAGTCACTTAGTCCTATGTCTAAAGCTCAACACTCACAAACAGAAGGAAAATACAGGAAAGGGCTCCTCCTCTGACTTTTGGGGGAAATAAGCTTATTTTTGGTCTCCTGTAAAAATAGTTTCCTGATAAGACTCTGAAATGAAGATTTAATTATTTTTTAAAAGATGTGTGTTCTCTGTCTTCCATAGTCAGGTTATCTGCCTTCTTAGAAAATGCAGCTTGCTCTTTTTCAACTATTTACTTTTTAAAAGTGGGTGTTCTTTTCTACTGGCTTACTTGATTACAGTGCAGTAATCTCAATAATGGTTGTTTATTTTAAAATCAACAACAAGGAGCCACCACTAAACAGCAATAACACAAACTAGATGGGCTGGTGTGTGGATTTTTATCTTATCTGTGTCTGGGTGACTTTCAGTGGTCTAGAAATTTTTCAAAGTTCCGGTCACAAGAATTGGAAGTTTCTGCTTAATAGGAGAATGATATTTTTGTTTGAATGCAGGAAAAGATATAGACTAATTCCTCAAAAGCATTTTTTTTTCCTTTCAGAGAAAATAAAAACAAAAATCCTCCATGGTAAAAAGCAAAAACAAAACCCTCACATTTAAAAAAATAAAGCATTAGTATCTACAAAAGATAGAAAATGTGGTGAGTTTTGCTTCACCTTGAAAATAACTTCCTGCTGATAAAGGATGTGAAAAGGGAGTTTCCTAGAGCCAAACTAGGGGGAAAAAATTAAAGGCTCCCCATCAACTAACCTCAGGAAATTGACAAGGAGGAACAGGGCATCCACCTTAGGGAGTACCCCGGTCACCCAGGTCTTCCCCAGGACTTTGCCCTACCCTGGAAGAAAGAACTATTTTTAATGCTAGCTTTGGTTTTGGTTTGCTCCCTAGGCCAAAGGGTATTTTTGCAAACTAGCCTTGGGGGGTAGGGACGTGGGGAAGATCTAGGAGGTTGGGGGAGGGCTGCATTTTACCTGTTTGGCAGGCCCTCTTTTGCAAAAAAAAAAAAAAAAAAAAGGAGGGGGCCCAGCTATCATTCTTTGCCCATGCCCTAGGCCCCCGCTCTTCTCTCGCTCCTTTTCAAACTGTGGCGGCCTCACAAGCTCCTACTTTAAAAGGCCTGAGATGTTTTGCATGAAGCCCTCACAATAGGGGTTGAGGGAATTGACAGTTTCAAAAACAAGGCGTTCAGTCCTTTCCAGCTGCCGGGCCCGCTCTCTCGCACCAACTCCTCGTTCCTCTCTGCTGGTGGCGTCCTCCGGAGCGAGCTGCCTTCCCCCACCCCGCCAGCCTGCATTCCCGCCGGCCCCACCCCGCCCCCGGGCTGTGTTTGTAAACAGGGGTCAGTGTCCAGGGGCTGCGGGCGCGGGGCTTGGGACTGGAGGGCTGGGAGGGAAGGCAGGGGACGGCTGAGCCGGCGAAGGGCCGGCCCCGGGGGGACTTAGGGGTTTCGGGGTCCCTTTCCCCCTCGTTTTCCACCTAGGTGCCAAACTCTGGCCCCCGTGCTGACCCAGGGCAGCTCTTAGCTCCCTGGTCTGGGCCACCAGCCCCAGAAAGATGTTTAAATGCCGCCATTTTGCATGGTGGCAAACAAATTTCTTTGTGACTTTTTTTCCCCGCCCAGATCTTGCTCTCCTCTGAATTTGTCACCTACCCTGGGGCGGAAGAGCCCGTACCCCGGTGCGCACGGCCCCCAGCTCCTCTCCACGCAGTCTCATGTCCCACTGGCCTCAAGGCCAGGCCCACCGGGAGCAGGGGCGACAGGGCGCGCGGCCGGTCCTCGGGGACTGGACCGCCTCCTCTCACTTTGCGCTCCTTTTGTGTGTTCTGAAGTCACCTCCCACCCCGGCACACGCACACACTGCCTAGCCATTTCTCACCTTCTCGCCCAGGCCTCATCTCTCTGTCCCAGGCAAATGGGGCCCAGCTTTTTTTGCTTTGGGCGGAGGGCTGGCCAAGGTCTCCAAAACGCGTGTGTGGAACGCAAGTGGCAAAGAGATGAGGCTTCACACTGGGCCAGCCAGCATGGCTGTGAACGCCTTCTGGGAAGTGGCCCAAGACCTGCGGCCGGGAGTCTGGGGAGGGCTCGGGTGCGCAGGCGAGGGC